AATATATAATGTATAAATATGTGTTTTTATAGATTAGTGTATGTATTAAAATTATAGTGTAAATTATTATACATGGTAATTTCTTTTGTAATATAACATATTTATATAAATTTTCATAATTTAAAAGAAAAATAACAATACGTTACTTTTTCTTTAAAAAAGTTAGTTAGATCTGAGATTGAACAGGTTGTTAACAAAATTTTGGACTATAGCAATCCACGTTCCACCACCTTGATGGAAAAAATATATAAATAAAAATTATGTTGTATATATAAATATTAAATTTTGTATTTAAAATATACCATATATATAAAATTGGATATTCTTGATAAAAAGATTACTTTTAATGCAGTGATAATGGGTGTCTATTCAAATGAATAAGGTTCCTTGTAGGTTTGAATCTCAAATAACACAATATTTATTACTCCCTCCTACTACAAATGTTTGGTGGGCATATTAAAATAGATGTTCAAACTGAATTGTCGATTTAAATAATTAAGAACTGATTAGTTTTTTTTTTTAATTTTATCCTTGATAATTTCTATATTTTGTTCAATTGAAAAATTATGTAGAATTTTGATATTCTTGCTATAGAAGGTTTATACAAGTAAAACTGCATCTTATATTAAATTTTTCTTGAGGGGAGTGCAGATCTTACCATGACAAAATAATTGTAGACAGATGGAGTATTTTATTGTTTACAACCACGCTACTCACTCACCAACCAAATATGAAAAAATAAAATAAAAAATATACTTACTTTCCAGAAAATTATTTTCTAGTTCCTATCGGACACACTCATAATCTCTTCTAAAATACAAAAATATTACATTATATTTATAATAGTATATGCTCTTCCTATTAACAGAAAAATATTTACAAAATGTTCAAATATACATGCACATATAAAAAAAATAACAAACAAACTAGAATTAACTATAAATTTTGTTGCTAATTTATCTGTCACTAAATTGCTTGTATTGAACAACAATGTTTTTAGTAATAAATTATTAATTAGGATAAGCTATAGAATTTGTGCATCACTTTTTTTCAATAGTAGTTGTATACCTTGAGAAAGATTCGCATCACATATCAACTGGTTTTAATATTGTATATCATTTAGGTATACAAAACGTAAATTGTATAACCCAAAGTTATACATCACACACAATTATCGTATATCGCAATATAATAATGCTCGAAGGGAGAATTTTATAAACGCATTCAGTCAGGTAAATTTATAAAATCACGTTTACCCGATTAGTTTAAATTAATATCACTCATGGCCTATTAACGGATCAGGATTTCTCTATTTTAAAATTGAAATTTCAGATTTTTAGTTAAGAATGAAAGGATCCTACTTATTCAATCGTACTGCCTCGGTAGTAGCACCTCGATCTCTGTTCAATTTTCTTTTTATTTTCACTCTTTAATCTAACAAAAATATTAGGTGTGATGAGCTAGATTGAGAAAATGCTGGTAGGGAGAATCAATCTCTAGCCTCCCCCTTTATATAATGCATGATGCACAAGTTCAGTCACTCTTACGAGTATCATAATGTAGTTAATCTCTACAAATTTACTCTTTCTTTTTCAGTTACCTGTCGTAAAAAATATAATATAGACTTTATATTTTAATTAATTCCAAAACTTGTTATCAAAAATTAGAGAAAAAGGAAATGAATGTGGTATTACATTTTTAAACGCTTAAATAATCTTATTAGGCAATCATTAACCAAATGCCAAATAATATTTAGATATACTCAAAGATAAACTGTGGCACACGATACTAAGGATTGAACTCCAGTTTAAAAATATTTCTTCTAAATTAATGTTGCAATTTCTGTTTCACTCTTATTTTTGTTATATATCCAGCTCCTATGTAATAATTTACAAATTACACATTAAATTTTACTAAACAAATCTCATGCAAATAGCTTAACTCATGTTGTCTCACATGCAAGAAATTTTAAATTTGAGACCTAAAATTTGTTTCTTATTATTAAAAAGTTGAATGAACATTCAATCATACATTTCAACCACTACATGAAATATATGTTAATTCCTATCTTTAAGAAATTCATTTTGGGTATTTATTATTAATTTAAAGAGTAAATAAATAGTAGCTTATTGCAATTTGAAGTAGGAAAATAAAAGAATTATGTCACCTAGGGTGCCTGTTTATACATTAAAAAAAACTAAGGAACAGGTCATCTTAATACATCTAAATTCTAATTAATGCAATCGACAAAGAAATTACATTTTTAAAAAAGAAAAATTCTTTTCGTCAGAAAATTTAGCCAGAATTTGATCAGAATGATGTCTTTTAAAAATATCAAATACTGATTTATTGTGGCTTGAATTCTGGTGGATCCAGATTGTCATCCGACCCGAAATGCCTGCGATATGGATCCTTATTAAATTCTTTGTATTTTATTTTCTTAATTGTGATTTATTGATCTGTTCAATTTTTACTATTCAGACCAAAATGAGTCAATGACATTGAGTAATATTTTTATTTGTTTTATGTGTCATGGTATGTTAATTAATGTTGTTTTTCCGCAGCATCCCAAATGTATTGGTGCTTCATATCATATATTAGAGGTGATAAAATCAATTAGCTTATAATTTTTTATTTTTTTAATGATGGAGTAAATTATTAATCCGTCTACTTAGCTCAAATTATGTTAGCTCATAAAAAATTGTGATAATATGTAGCTCAATTGATTCATAAGTAACAAAAGAAAAGTAGTTTATTAAGTACTAAAAAGTGATAAAAAAAATTCAAATAAAGCAAGAAAAAATTAGTAGAAATTAAGGGAAAAAAATTATTCGTATCGGGTATTCACATCAAGTCAATGTAATTTTCATTATTATGTAATTTTAATGAAATATAATGAACAATTATAAGTTTCAACACATGACATACACGTATTGACTTGGTGTAAACACCTTGTGTGGGTAAAGTTTAACCGAAATGGAGGGGTGAAGCAGCAAATTTAACTGGGATCAATAATCCAACTATTTATCAACTGAATCAAATTTAACATGCTCAAATTCAGTACAACTTATCTATATGACAACTCTACATATAACTTGAAAAATAAAAGAGAAATTAATTTTTACATATTTTGTAAATACAATATATTTAATTATACACTGAGTTATTTATCTAAGACTAAAATGATGTTTGAATTGGCTCAAAGTTGGACAAGTCAATTTTTGAATAAGTTTTTTGACTTCTGACAATATTTTTAATAAATATTAAAAATAACTTAAAATTAATTACCAGGTATTTATAAGATAAAGAATAATACAAAAATAAGTTAAAATAACTTAAAATAAGTCAAAAATAAAAAATAAACATCCCTTTAGTTTTTACTTTTTTGATTCAAAAACCATTTTAGTTTTTTCTTTTTTATTTTATTTTAACTCAATCCAAACAGGATCTACAGATTAAATTCTCATTAAAAAAATCTGGACTCACTCGGTATATAATTACTTCCTCCATTTTAAAAAGGATGGTCTAAGTTGACTTGAAACGAAGTTTAAGAAAAGAAAGATGATTTTATAATTTTGTGGTTCTAAATCAAAGTTATGTTAAATATATCAAAATATTTTTTTAATCTTGTGATATTAAATATGTCACGTGAAAAGTTAAATTTAAAATATTACCAAAAAAGAAAATCATTTTGAAACGAATTAAGAAAAAATAGAATCATTCTTTTTAAAACGAAAGAGTAAAACATAGTATAGCATAGTAAAATTGGTATATTATAAAGCACGTGCCTGACAGCATACATGTGAGAAAATGGAGTGCTTGTCAGAAAGACAAAGGGTGGGGTCTCCAACCTCACACTACAGTGCTCTCGATTTTTTATATTTGAAAAATAAAATAGAAAAAGAGTTTTCCAATTACTCGTCATTTCACTGTTTGTTCTCCGTATATAAAAAGTTGAATAATAATATTTTAAATTTGAACAATTACTATTTACCTTTTCTACCTTTTGTTGGTTATTTTATTCTTTTTGAAATCAACATACTATTTTTCATATAAGGTCATAAATTGAATTTCTAATATTCGTAATTTTTTTTAAATGTAATATATTATTTTAAAAATATATATATATATTATTTAATAAATATAATATTTTCATTTTGAATTAATAATATTTTATTATTTTTGAAAAAATTGTCGCACCACTATAATTTAATTTTATTATTAATTTTCACAATAAAAAATGCACAATTTTAAATGGTTTACAATTGTTCAAATTATTCGTAATCCGCTTTCTCAAAAGAAGAAATATTTCGCGATGAAACAAGAATCGTTCCTAAGAGATGTTGAACGTACATTCGGAGCTTTGTAATCATGTTTTACAATTATTGTAGGACAATCACATTTTTGGAAAAAAGACTTATTATATTACACAACATGATAATCGAGGATGAACGTGATCTTAAAGCACCAATTCAAGATATTGTAGATGCTCCAACGGTAACGACAAACATGATAGTAAATGAAAATATTTGATTTGAACAATTTTTAGTTAGACAAAAAAATTAAGGACAAAAATATTCATTGTATACTCCGTAACACATTTATGGAAACAAACGTAATAATTGAATATTTATGTAATTATATTTTATTAATGATTTCACTTTTATTTGAATGGTCTATTAATTTAAATATTATATAATTTTTGCTTCCAATTTATGTTATTTAGGAATTTAGAATAAAATATAATTTGAAAAAGTAATATTTTATACCAAATGAAAATTATATAAATGCCTTTTACTCATGTATAAAAAAACCAATCATTTGGTAAACAATTTACTAAACATATACAACAGACAAATAACAGGTCTCCCCTTAATGTGCATATAAATAATCTTTAGATCTATATTAATTTATTATAATTAAAAAACTCAAGTCGAAAATAATTAGCAACAAATTCTCAAAATGCTAAATAATTTTTTAAACTTGACACAATTTGTAAGTTGGACATAATAGTGACCATATAGATTCTTTTATTTGGCAAAATTGTCTCTTAAACACACTGACATAACAATCTTTTGCACTTCACATGACAAGTTGTGTCTTTCACACTTCTACATTGAGTTTAATCTTTTGCACTTCACATGTCACAATCAATTTAGCTAAATCTTTTTTATTAAGAACAAAATAAAAGTTTAAACTTGTTGGTTCTTGTTGAGTTTTAAATTTTAATACTGGTTTCCAATGCATTTGGTTCTTGTTGCACCTTGCCACTGTCAACACTAATACTCTCTCCTGCCTTGTCATCTTCGACGCCTACTTCACCTGATGCCTCGTTACTAACTGCAGTCACTAAACCGCCTTCTCTTTGGATGAGTTCAGGGGACTCTCCAGAACTCTATTGTTTTGTATCTGCATAATACAATTGCATAACTTAAGAGAGAGTAGAGCTATCAATCGATATAGCCAATTAACTATAGCTAGGTAAGCTTGTCTTTAAAATCATGAGCCAGTTAAAGGTGAGTGAGTGTGCAACACAGCATACCTTTGCTCTATGGTTCAATGAGCTGGAGTTCAAAGCACAAAGGAATTCATCAACAGCCCTAACCCACCTGCACAAAGGAAGACATGATAACTACTTCTCATCATGGATATCATACTACTATATTAGTCGCCAGACACAATTCAATACAAAACTTGAAGGTGTACAAGCCATACATCTGAATGCTTACGACACACACATTATTCAGTTCTCTAATATCAGGTCCCCTGCAATCACAAAGTGTATCTCACAGAGAGCTCATTTCTTTTATGGATCCTTGGTTTTAGGCCATTTTCTCATGCTAAAAGAATTGAGATGACTGAATAATAGCGAGATGCAGTGATGATTAGTTCTAATAAGATGTAAAACAAATTAGAGTGCCAAGGCAAAAACCATATCTGTAATGAGGGGAACATATATTACCAGAGGCTTTTTGCGGTCATCCCTTCAAGATATCCCAAGTGTCCCCCGTGTTGTGTAGTAGCTAGTACGACATTTTTGTTTGCCCTGAAACAGAATCATGTTGTCATGCTATATATATTTACAGTAGCAGAACACACAGATTTGTATTTAAAGCAAAAAAGGTTATGATTCTCAGGCCTCAGAGCATACAGTGATGATATGAAGATGATTTTGAACTAATAAAAGAGACTTCACAATATAAGCAAGCCTCAACTTCCGTTAGGTGATAATGTGTTTTCATATAATAATTTGGTGTGTAAAAGGTTACTGGAAAACTGGAGTAAGTAAAAGAGATTTGGCTACTAGGTCAGGGGATGAAATATGTAGTAAGCCTAGTTAGTAACCATACAGTTACATCTTTTTCCATATCATCTTTCAACTGTACTGCTTCACATTGGTACCATATTAAGAAATTTGAAATGAAGCTAAAAGGAGAAACTTTGCAATGCAAGGATGACATACCGACATTCATCCCATGGAATTGTTTCCCTTGTACAGACTGGATCATCCAAGGCACTAATGCAGAGAAGGGGAACTCCCACTTTTCTTATATAACTGCTACAGCTAACTGTCCTGTAATAGGTATCAACAGTCTTGGGGAGAGGGGACAGAAATAAATGCTGATTAATTAATTAGGCATTGGACAGAAGTATTGAAAAAAGGTGGTTAGGTTATGTTACCTCAAAATTACCAAGAACACAAACAACATGTTTGTCATAATCTCTGATACAGCTTATCTGCAAGAGAAACAAAAAAAAAAAGCATCAGAATAAGCGATACACGAAAGAACTCCTAGAGTCTCCATAAATTGCCTTAGAGGGACACCCACAATAATAAGAACACCATATGTTTTATAGGGAACTCATATGCGAGTTCTAAATAGCTGGCCGCAGCATATGAATAGACCTAATATCATTTTTTTTATCAGTCAAATAGTCAAAATATTATAAATCCTCCTAACATTAGATTTGCTACGACGTGCTCCCCTTGGGCACGTGTTATATCTGCACCAGGGTTTAGATTTAAATGGAAAGGGTTCCATGAATGGAACCAGCGTGAGCGCCAAATGTATATAGATAGAAGATTCATATAAATAAAACTAGTTTGGAATTGAGGCTTAGTTGGTTGGTTGATTGATTTGAGTGATTGACAGAGAAGTTAAAGCTCTGACAGAGATCAGTAAGAGAAATAGATGACCTTAGAAATGCTGTCCCAATCTGTCAGACTCGGCAAAACACTCCGATGCCTGCAGAACTCAGATTTCAATACACAAAAGAATTAGGACACCTGAATTAAGGCCAACACAAAAAGAAAGTACAGTAGTTTTGACATAGAATTAGTTTAGGATTAATGTCATCACAGACAACAACGAAGCCATTACTTACAGCTCGGCGTAATCTTTTAATCCAATTCCTAAAATTCGGTCATAGGATCTCTGCACAAGCCTGCGCTTAATAAACCTATCACCAATCTGGAGAAAACAAAGAAGCCAAGACAGAGAAACGTTGTCACGAAAAATGAGCATAGGTCTTTGTGGTACAGAATCAACTTAAGATATAACTAGTTTGACTTTATTAAAATATGTTGCTGCCATCACTATCTTCATCTAGCATTTCCACTGAATTATTTCAGACTAAATAAACTCTTCCCGGATCATGATAATCCAACAGATCGTACCATCCAAAGCAACCCTTAACTTAAGAAATAAACAAAATGTATCTGAATCCAACTTAGCGGAAGATATACCAGATAAAGAATGACATGTATGAAACCAAAGAGTTGGCAATCCACCAAACCATAAAAAAGTCAAAGTATGCATATTAGTTTCAGTTACTAACCAAAAGGTCCCAAGGAGAACAGATTGAAGCCGCCCCAACAAGCGCAGTATTAACTCCTTCCTCACCAAGATATTTTACCTGGAAATCATTAATAGTCAATAAAATAATTCTTGGCTTCGTCCAGAACAGTTTCCATATTGCATATACATTTACTTAAAGCCTTTGAAATCGAATTATCAGAATATCAATTCATGTTTATGGTTTGTAACATATCAAACTTAAGCAAATGGACCAACTAGTAAGCTGAGAATAATCTTGTTTAGATGAAACTTTGCTACTAAATTTTATTATTTTTTCTAATGGTCAAAATTTGGACAATATACACTGGGGAATTACTATATAACTTTGAAAAACTGACAACTAAAGCATTATCATAAACAGTATAGACAGTTATCATATGCTTCTGTATATGAACCATACTGACAACAATAACTTCTGTTAAAATATTTAAGGTTAGAACCTACTATAATTCTCTTCCCTTATCTTTCAAATTTTAGCTTCAGTTTCCAGGTAACCATAAAGAAGATTATTTAGCACAGCAGTGATGCACAATTTTGTGATCATATTAGGAAAGCCAACAAAATATTCAACAACAAAGTAAGTAATTATGTACCAGAACATTAGAACCAATGCTAGTGCCAACAGCATATAAAGGAGCTTGAGGGTATTGGGCGTGGAGATGATCAATGACTTTGCGGATGTCCTCCGTGCATCCGGCATTGTAGAGGCGATCAGACTGCCATCAAGATATCATGAATATTTTACTTTTCATTGGTCAATATTATACATACTGTATATTGTTAACACAGTAAACATATTACTAGCAAAGTCATGCACCTTAGACTACTGCATAAAAAACAATACTAGACTTTCGCAAGTCTTATTCATATTACATTGAGAAATAATACTGGCATAGATTTCAAGAGGAGAAATAAGAAACTGCAGAGATGAGAGGCACCACATACATCAATAATTCTCAATTTCCTAAGGGGTAGGCTTCTAGGCTAAATTCAAAAAATGCAATCTACTAACAGAATCGTAAAGAATGGAAAAACAAAAAGACTGAATCTTTCAAGAATGTCGACTCTCCAGGGGACTATAGAGGACCACTGTATTTCCTAAGAGATGACTCAACTAAAAATTAAGCATCTTCCTTGAGCAAAGTATAAAATCCACCTAGAGGAAACTTCATTCATAAGTGTCACTTTGACCAAGGGAGCAAGTACAATACTTATTACTGATGATCCCATCTGAATACACAATTACTGTTGTGATATTCTATTTAACCCAAGTTATGAGATTTTAAGTATGTATCGGTTAATTTATTCCTTATGACCAATTACTTCAGCAGGATCTGCAAATATATTAATACACAGAATATCTGTATCTCAAGGTTGTTAACATGCAGTTGAGCACATATAAGATATACTTGGTGCATGAAGCTGGAAAATAAATTCTAAAATGTTGTGCAGCTATGCACCTAATCTTATGGTTTTCTGCTTGTGAAATAGTAATAAGGCAGTTTCAGATCAAAAACAAGCCGACGCAGCAGCAATACAAAATTAGAAAGTTCACAGCATTGCTCCTCTCGAAGGCAGTTCAACTGAAGAAAATATAGATCTTATTTTCTCTTATCAAAAGCAACAAAACTGGAAGAGATTAAATCCTTGCTTAAGGAAGGAGTACTCACAGTTATTGCCACTCCCCCAAGACCCCGATGATTGCTCACAACAACATTCCATCCAGATTTAACCATCTTGAAAGCAAGATGCTTGACGTACTGTTAAATTAAAGCAGAGTTAAAGCAAATACTTGACACCGAAAGCACATTTTATCAAGTAATTATATAATAGAGCTCAACCAATGCCAGTGTTCAGTGAAAATGATAAGAGACGACAAGAGAGGAAAAATGCTTACACTAGAGAAGGAAGAGGAAAAATAATTCAAGGAAACAAAGAACTATTTTAGCACAAAAAAGAATTCTCCACAGGAGAAAGAGACAAAAGCTAGCAGAAAACTCAATATTCAGAGGAGTACAAAAAGAGTGAAAGAAAGCTTACAGCAGAACCAGAATCGCTTGTTAAACCAGGAATCACCACAACGATGGGAGTTTTGTCATCACTCTGAACTCCATCAAAACCTTTGATGGATGGTTTTTTATCTATCAAATTATAAGGCAGAAGTTGGCATCAATTTACACCTCTAAATAGCATATATAAAGCAACAGAGGATAGTCAAGAACGACAACATTCATTTTGTTGTGCAAAAATACTGACTTGATCTGTTAAAAGCTTGTAACTTAAGATAGGTACTTGTTGAAGTAAATGCTTTTACAACTAGTGGCTTGCAGAATCAGCAGATATATATCATAATAACATCAAGTTCTATCAAAAGGCAATCAACAAAAAAATATCAAATCCACCCTTAAACATAACTTTCAGCAAACTAACAAGTAGATATTAGTCAATCAAATCATTTATTATATGATCTCATTATATCAGAATTAATTATTCGCTTTGTATCAATTTGTTTGTGTTACTTTCAAGTTGAGTAATCTGCTTAACTAATTCTTCATCACTGTGATGAACTACTAGAACTAGGTGGCAAGTTTTCTTAAATTTAAACCCTTTATAACTGGTTAGCTAACATAGTTGGGAAGTTCTCCAAGACGGAACAACACATCAACCATGCAACTCCATGAAGTCCTTCAATCTTGCAAAGAGATTACAAAAACTATCTATTATGATATATCTATTCCAGTTCTTTATTTGTTTATTTAGAGGTTTATAAGCTTTAAAATAAAAGGTTGATCTATCATATTATAAATGTACTTTACCATCCACATTCCGTAGCCAATCCAGAGCTATTGTCCCACCATCAGATGTTTTAAATATCTGTCTGGAGGCAAAGAATGCATCAGTGCACCAAAAATCAATTCTTCACTATGTAAAAGATATATAAGTATGAGAATATTCTCTCTTTTCTCAATTTCAAGCGAGTAAAATTAACATGTGAATCCGTACACAATTGTCACCTTTGATAATTGCAAGCAGGTACTCTTTCAAAGAACTGCAAAAAGATAGTCTGAAAATGAGGACTGCAAAGCCAGGGAGTAGAAGAAAACCTGCATTAAGCAATAGTTTACAAATCACCATCACATTTTCCCTAACTGATTAGATGTATATCAAGATTTCATTTTTACTTCATCCCCTTATTCAGTTTTTACCTGCCATGAAGAATTTTACACTTGGAAACAACTTCTTGATACAGGTTAGAGCAAGAATTAAAGGTCAAAGAGACAGATTGTCCCCTAAATCCATTGATTAATTCTTTTATGAAGTACATTTCCACAAAATTGTAGAGAAATACAATGAGTAGAAACAGAAATCCGAATAAATAATGAGAAATGGGTATCAAGAAAGCAGCTTTAAGCATGATAACATATGGAGATTCTGAGGTTAACCCAATGCAATCCATGGGAATCTCAAAAAGAAAGAAATCAAGAAAGAGTGATGGAGAAGAAAATTGTTGCTGCTAAATTTGATACAAAGGACAGTAGTTGAGCTACATCAAATTTATAAAAAAAAAAAAGCCGTCAGTCTTGACTAAACACTCTTGAGCCAATGTTCTCTTCTCCAATAATAATTGATAAAAATTTGTATGTCACTATCACCCTATATATTAACATATACTAGTGGTTATAGTATTCTTAAAATTGAATTTGGTATGATAATAAGACCGGGCAAATGCCTGACAATATAACTATTAATTATATAATCATTTGCTCATCAGAAAGATGGCTGGAGACTGAAATAAATATATATACTCCTATATAAAAGCAGAACATGTATAGGAAACAATACATTAAACAACTTGATAATTGTTCTGTTGATAAAATATCTTTAATTAATGTCTAAAAAATATATATATATTTTAGAATTTATCTAATTAATTCTGGTTGAGAGAAATAATTACAAATTTATTAGCCATAGCCCATAAATAAGGCAGCATTCATGTGCTATCTTTTTTGGTCAAAAATGGCTGTTGCCAAAGTTTAGAATTTTTTTGTGATAATTCATTGCCTTTATGGCTTTGATTAGTCTTCATTTCTTGCTTTTCAACTTTTGCATATTACTTAAATCACTTAATAATCTTTCTTTTTCTCCACATTTTTTCTTTGCTCGATTTTTCCATTCGAATTTTTAATTTTTATTAAAAGAGTTTGTTAAGTATAAAAATACATTTATATCGACTAAAATATCCTTCTAAAAATAATATCAAATTATGATTTTTTTTCGTAATTTTCAATAATTCCAACATAGTGCGAATATATAATTTATAGATCCAAACTAAATTATGCCTTAGCAAACTTAATCCAGAAATTGTTAGTCAATGTGCACGCGCATGACTTTTCCGTATGAACATGGAATTGCATAACAAATATTCGAGTCCGAAACCACAAAAAAAATTACAAAGTAAGTAAATAAAACAGGTTTGGAGATTAAAAAAATTATTTTATCCAATATTTTAATTTTTACTTATTATCATTATATTTTAATATAAAACAAAACTATTTTTTACTTTTCTTAAAGTATATAAGTTTTTCTTACGCTTTTATTTTACTAATTTAAAAAGAAAAAAAGTTCATATTTTTAATAATTTAACATTTAATTATGGTCAAATGGTGGTCAACGGCGGCATAATGGTGAAATGGGGTCATTGTTAACTGAATTGACCACCATGGTTCACTTCGCCACCATAACCACCGCCATCCACCATCATCTCCGGCGACAAATTCGAACTTTTGTGAACGCAAGGGTAAAATGGGTACGAGATCCATACCTGGATGCAGCAGTAGAGAAGGAGAAAAACCTCAAGTCATTACTTTCTCTCAAGAACTTAATCATCTCTCACCCATCAAAAGCTCCTCCTCTTCGCACCATTTCCCCTCTGAAACCCCAACTGAATCTTCCCACAACAGCCCTTAAATTCATTCAGAATTACCCTTTTGTTTTCAAAACCTTCAGGCCTCCGATACCCTTATCGACATTACACGTAAAGCTCACTCCAAATGTAGAATCGTTACATAATGATGAGACCCTTTTTCTTAATCTTTCACATTATCGAAAAGATTTAGCGCAAAGATTAGCGAAGTTATTGATGCTCACAAGAGCTAATAGACTTCCTTTCTTTGTTATCAACAGGTTTAAATTTGATTTGGGTTTGCCTCATGATTATTTGTTGAGTTTTTTACCTGAATTTCCTGAGTATTTTCAGATTTGTCAAATGGGTTTTAAGGGTGCTGATGGTCGTGAGATTTTCGGGTTGGAGTTGGTTAAATGGAGGATGGATTTAGCTGTTTCTGTAGTGGAGAAAGGGGCGAAAAGGGAGGATTTTGGGGGTGGGAAAAGAGTGCACATTAGGTATTCGATGAATTTACCAAGAGGATTTGATTTGCAGAAGAAGGTGAAAATTTGGGCTGAGGAGTGGCAGAATTTGCCATATATTTCACCTTATGAAGATGCATTTCACTTGGCTCCTAATACTGATCAAGCAGAGAAATGGACAGTAGGGGTGATTCATGAACTGTTGAGCTTACTTATATCGAAGAAGACGGAGAGGGAGAACATTTATTGCTTGGGAGATTATCTGGGATTCGGAATAAGGTTTAGAAAAGCTTTGGCGCATCATCCTGGTATATTTTACTTGTCGAATAAAATCAGGACGCATACTATAGTTTTGAGAGAGGCATTTAACAAGAACATATTGATCGAAAAACATCCATTGATGAGAATGAGGAATAAGTATATCAGTCTCATGACCAAAGTGTTGAGAAGGGGAATTCCAATCAATGCTGCAGCACTTAGGCACAGGAAGCGGCTGGCTTCTGTAAAAGCAGCCAACAGCAAGAGGATGAAACAAGTTAAAAGTATAGCGCCTAAAGAAGATTGATTGATAATGTGAGTGATAACTTCATGATCATGCATTATGTTATAAAGGCTTGTGTTTTGATGGATTTGTCTATCGGCGATTCACTAAATGTTGGTCGAAACTTGCAGGGATATAAGGGGAAAGCAAGGGAAGGAAACCTTAATATGCATAAGAAGCTGGCAACTGCTACTGAAGCTATCTTTACATTTGATAATTTAGCCTTATGCCGGGTACTATTTTCAAAATTGCCTTTTCTTTCGCGGTTGTTATTATGGTGTTGGCGATCTTCCTAGCCAAAAGGATGCGCGTTGGCAGGTCTATATCAAACAAGGTCCTAGCTATACATCACTTTACACACCTTTGTGATACTTGCTCCTCCTATCCGATCACTTCTGATCTTGTTTAGTATTGTATGGCAACACATCCATTGTAACATTTGGTACATAACATTCAACCTGGAATTTCGTTCCAACTAACAAGAATATGAAAATATTGTGTTCTAATGGGAAGAAGAAAAGTTACAACGGTTTGAAATTATGAAGTGTGAAACGAGGGGATTGCAACACTTCTTTGAGAAAAAAAATTACTATTTTCACTCTTTTTTTTTTTTACAATGCAGAAATGAGAAAGAGGAGATAAATGAGTTGGAAAACTATTTATCTAGTTAAATTCATTCTTAAATAAACTTTGATACTCTTGTTTATAGTGTGATATTACTTTTTATAAATATTCTCTCATTGTTATTTTTCTATGTATATGATCTTTGTTTTTTTAATAATTCTCATTATATAATTGTTAAGGTGTGATAAACTGGAATACCTTGTTTCTAGTTTGAAATTAGTATATATATAAATATATATATATATATAACATGAAATATGTTTGTATTGTGTTTTGTTTTAGGGGCTCAAGAGAGGAAGGGAATAAGAATATATATAATGAACACATTAAGTAGCAATTTACTACCCCTTTATTCCTTCATTCCAAATGATATCATATTTTGACCCGTTAAGTTATTTGCCTATCAAGTCGGTACAAAGATTTAAATGTGTATCCAGGCATTGGAATATCTATCATAACTCAAGATTTTCCCTTTATATGTCTTCATTTTAAACATGCCTATCCTCTTATTAACTATAAGCTATTCAAAATGATGATGATTTTCGATACATTACATTGGTAACAGGACATGTCATAAAGATTCAAGAAAATTAAGCTTACTTTATTCATATATATAAACAATATTTTACATGTATCTCTGTTTTCTTTCACCAATTAAGAGATGGGGGAGTTAACAAACAAGTGATCATCTATCACTACTAGTATAAGTGTGCTTACTTATATATCTATACTAGTTTCTGGATACGAATGACTAAAATGCAATGAAAACATATAGTGTGTAAACAATATGCAATGAATAATATAATACAAAAATTATAAATAAATCTTTAATAATATAACCATAAAACACCAATGAGGGGCACATTTTGATGTTTCAAATTAATTCTTTTTAAGCAATCTACTATAACTTTTAAACTTTGGTTAATAGTTAGCAAACTTTTAATAAAGTCACAAATGTCTAATTTGAGCTCAAACAAGTATTAGACTTACGACTTCATAGAAAACTAAATTAAGATGTCTAATAGAGACGGAAAAAACACAGAAAAAATAGAGAAGGAAAAAAAATACAATGTATACATTCTTCATAAGACGTTGATCAATAATAATGTAGATTAAAAAATAAATACAAAATTAGTAAATAATATTTCGAGTTCTTATTGACTCTTTCTCCGATATCCTATCAAATTCAAGAGTCTTCTTCATGATATACGTCGGTAGCATAAACTATTTGAACATACATCAATTTGAAAATGTCTCAGTTTTTAAAAAGTAGCTTATCGATTATGAAATTGAAATCTAAATAAAAAATAATATTAAGAGAGAAGTAAACATAAATTGTAAAAAAACAAGATATCTAGCAAAATTATGGATGAATAATCATTAAAGCTACAAAAATCTCAATAAGAAGAATGAGTTATAACCATCAATTTTTTGTACGTGTCTCTACAATCCACATTAATAAAAGAAGTAGAATAAGATATTGTGATAATCTATGAGCTGATATAATATGAATAAGAAAAAATGATATTTTACATGGCAAAATACAATATACAAATATAAGATTCCAAATAAATTCAAGAGTTCATAAAACAGCAAACCAGTTGAAAAAATAGTCATCTAAAGTGATAATGATGAAAGTAGGATACAAAATATCACTATTAAAATCTTATACCTGAAAATCGCCGAAATAATCTCATCAAAAGGAGGTAATTGGTGAACAAAAATTATTCCTCCATTAGTTAGAGATTTATATAAAAGAAGCTTACGAGCCTCACCATTTAGTTTTTTTTAAAAAAAAATATTTATAGGAATTATAAATGGAGAACATAACTTTACCTCTACAATTGATATTAAGATAAGAAATTAAAGACTATTAATGTCATTAACTCATAACTGAGTATTATTAATAATTAAAATAGAAGATGAAAAGTTGAAGAATTTGTATGTTTAATGAAATAATCTTATACATGGGGAGATGGAGGGTTGCTCTTTTTACTAACCAATTTAATATAATTTAATTTAATCATAGTAATTATAGATAGAG